TAAATCAACTCTCCCAGTAAAGCGTAACCTTTCCTCCACCTGAACATCCTCATTCACATGAGAGCAGAACAAGAATATCTTCCATATTTGTCCAGATGCTTAATAAAACTGCAGAAAAACAGTTTTGGAGTTGTTATTTTGGTAATTCTGACTCACCAGTTCCCGACTTTATTCCTTTTCTTCAACAGATGTCCACAGTCGATATTTGACTTCACTAACAACTTCTTTGGGTTTGATCAGTTTTTCATTTTATTTTAAAAAAAGGGTTTAAAAAAGCAACTTAACAAAGACATTTTATATTTCTTAAGTTGTATCTCAGAGGTCAAGCAATACACAACATCACAGTAGTGTATTCATTTTCTATACATGCAGTTTTACAAACAATACAATGATGACAAGTCTTGGTGCAGGGTATGTGTGTGTTTTTATCCATGTACATCAGTGTGTATTGATTAGTATGTTTTACAGCCTGGTTAATTTGCTTGAGATCAGGAAAACCTGTCACATTTTGTCCTGACTGATCTCTCTCTTCACCTCATTTTCAGCTTTTGGTATCCAGTCTGTTGAAGACATGGTTTTATAAAGCTTAAATCTTTAGTTTTTAAAATTCTATTTACATTTTCTTTCTTCAGTGTGTGTGTGCTTTAATATGTTTCAATAATCAGTATTTGGAGAGTCGTTGTCATAGACATCTGAAAAGAGAGACAAAATTTAAATGAGAAATAAAGTATAGCATATAACACTGGGCATCACAATTCTAAATTACATTAGAAATTAAATTAGCACAGTTTTCTTATTATAGAAAATAAGGATCCAAAGATAACTCACCACTTGGATAGTCAACATCGTCATATATGTCTCCTTCCCTGCAAAGGAAGGCTGATATTACTCTGACTGCCGTTATCATAAAAACAGATTAAACTGAAAGATATGTTTAGATGATGGTGCGTAGAGTATACAGGCTGTAGTCACAATAGTGACCGATGTATTGTATTTGTTGATCTTTCCATTTATCAATTGTTTTTATCAATCTTCTTATCAATATTTTCCATTTGTTCGGCCAAAACCTTGTTTGTTCAAAACTGTAACTTATCAGGAACTGAAAATGAGATTGTTTAATAATGATTTAAAAGTAATTAAACATTTGTAAAATCCACAGAGAGAGAGGAAGTAATGATAGTAAAAGTAAAAGTAATGATGAAAAATAGAGATTCACAGTTTCCTCCCCATCAGTACATTCAAGTCAAAGAGGAACGTATACTGTGACAATAACACATATTTAGAAAAGACACATTCATTATTTATTTACACTATAAAGAGAAAGAAATGTAGTTTTGATGGTCGAGTCACAAATAAACCAACAAATATTTATTTACTTACATTGGAAGAAGAAGAGATCTGGACACATAACCATCTGTGAGGGGCGAGACGAAATAGAGTTTTATGTTTATTGATATATTTATGATTTAATTATTATTATATTATGTATTGTAATACAATCTGACAGCAAATAAAGGCTAAAAGTAATTTTGGAAGCTTAAAAGTTAAATCTGTGCCTCTTGTATGATTCAAATGATAAATAACAAACTAGTACATGATTACGGAGCCATGCTGGTGGATTTTAGAGTAAGCAAATGATCTTATGTACATTTCAAACCACAGACTTTGTTGATGGCCTGACTTTTTACATAACACCACCATGTGTTCACGTACATTTTCCAAACCCGTTGCGACACAGAGCTTTCTTGCTGTTGGTGAACTGGATGATATCCAGGACTTCTCCCTGAGACACAGGGAGATGCTTCCCTTTTGGCTTCTTTATGATGCTGTTAGGATCCACCATCATGATGTGCAGGACCCTGATTGGCCCTTCAAACTGGAAAACAACATGTAATGTGACATTTTAAAAGTTGTTGCAGTTCTCCCGGTGGAAGCTCCAGAGCATTTTTACATTTTTTTGCATCATATCATAGCTTTGGGCTGTGCATGGGGTTCCTCAGGGATCAGTTCTTGGCCATGTTCTGTCCTTGTAGACAAATAATAAAGAAATACATTTCCCTTCACTGCTCATATGCTGATGACATTTAAATTGACTACCACTGAAACTGGTGTAAAAGTGAGAAGTATATTTACCTTGAATCTTTTCCTCAGCTCCTTCTCAGCTTTTGGATCTATGCTGAAAGTGAAAGTGATGTCACAGTTAGTTTATATCAGTGATCTGATTTTTTAACAAAGCTTTACAACCAGTGACTTCCTGTTTTCTTGCAGTGATCAGATGTGATTCCAGATACCTGATCTCGGGTGGTGGTGGAGGGAAATCCTCGGTTATTGGTTGAACGTCATCATAGTCATCTGTGGATAAAATATAAATGTTAACTGATACTATTGAAACTAGATAGATCATAACTGTCAGCACTGTTGAAACAATCAAATAATAACACACATTTCAAAATGAATTCAACAATAGATTAAAGATTTGACTGGGAACTGATTTTGTTGGTTATTTTTCAACAAAGAAAGAAATCATGAAACTACATAAAACTATATAAAATAATACATATTAATCCAAATTTGCCAGTGATGTTCATGCTTGGTTTGTTACTTACCATCATCTTGACTCAAGCTGCAGATTAAAGGAAACACAAAGTTTGTGTTAGCTGGAAAAGATTTAGGTGAAAAGCAAAGGCAACTAAACAATGTGGCATCCATGTTTGCAGGTGGAGTAACTGAATTTCAAATGACTGAACTTAATTTCTGCTGAACTTCATAAATTAATTAGTTAATAAGGTAGCTGCAGTGAGTTAAGAAGGTTTGATAAGTAAAAGTTTACATAGAGCTAGATGAGAATAATCGACTGTACCTGTCTCTGTTGTTGGAGTCCATATTTAACATCTGTGGGGGGTCAGGAGGTGGTGGAGGTAACGCTGATATGTCATACGTTTTTTTGGACTGGAGCACTTTGCGCTTCACTTCTTCATAATCAATGTCCACACATGTGTTGCTGATATATCCGTCTACAAAGATACACAATGACAAGATGATAATTATCTCACTTCAGTGTGTGAGCCAACTCGGTTTCTCTTCGTAAAACAACGACAAAACAATTTTCTGCTTCAGATAACTTGGCTCACAATCCCTATACTTTCAAATCATGAATCAAAATGTAAATGAAATGCATAAAGATCCACATAAAGCAATTAAAATAAACAGACTGAAACAATGTTATGTGCTTCAGGTTGACATTTATGTGGTGATAAGTCTTAAACACTAGATTTAATTAAACTATTGTATACAGCAGGTTATATGCTTTATATATAGATTCATCCTTCGTTCGTATGCCAACTTTTATACCTGAGCAAAGTGTAAAAAGGGTTTTGCAATATTTAAAACCAGGTATTTTAGTTTTTTTTTCAATATGCAATTTGAAAACTATATTTAAATAAAGCAACAGATCTCTTCAGTTCATGGCAAAATTAGAAATTCAAAGTCAAACTCACAGTTTCCATTCAGAGAACGAGCCAACCATTTGCCTCCTGGATTATTCCTCACTCGTAGGATCTCCACATTCTCGCCTTCTCGTACGCAGAGGTCCAGTTTTCCTCCTCCCTGCCAATCCTGTCGGACTTTGGCTGTATGAAGAACCTCAATCTCCCCTTGCAACTATAGATAGACAGATAAAATAATGTGAAAGCTGACAGTTTGCTCAAAACAATGAAATTTGTGTGGGGATGGAATGGGCTCGTGGAACCTCAGGAATTTGAATTTAAAAGAAGCAACTCTGGTTTGATATAGAAGCATTGAATTGATGTTATGTCAGCAGTTATACTCGAACCAAAAAGAATACATCCTCTTATCATTTCCACTTCTTCGTCCTCTCATTCAGAACTGAGGTCAGACTGGTTAGCAATATTAGACATAGATGGAAAACAAGGGTTTAAATTGATAAGAACTTTCTTCTAGCTGGAATAGTAAACCACAGTCAATGCTAATGTTGGCTATGTAGCTACAGCAAAACATACGTACAGCACCTTTAACTACTAAACTGTGAATCATCCAGTTTGTGGTATTTCTGTTTTTATGGTCATGCATTTTCTTTAAATTTCATCTTTTCCCAACAATTGAATACACGTTGTTCTGCTGCTGAAGGAGCTCGACCTCTGGATGTTTAACGGCGGATGGATGTTGTTGGTTTCTTACCTGAAAGTTCTTCCTCAGCTCGTTCTCTTTTTTCTGACGCTCCATCTGTTCTTTTTTCTCTTGTTCCCGTTGCTTCTGAGCTTGTTTCTTGTTCATCTTCAAAGGATTTACCTGGATCACCTCCACCTCGTCCCTGTGATGAACAATTCACATGAAAAATGATTCCGTCACCTAAGGCCGCGCTACACTTGACAAAATTTACGTACTACACGATCCTTGTTTCCTATTAAAATGCCATGACTCAAAATTGTAGATTTTTCATCACACAATAATTTGACCTATATCCTCATTAATTTAATCTATTGAAAAAGTTCTAACACCACAGCTGTCAATGTTACAGACAGTTAATGATTCATCTAAAAGAATCCATTCATTCTGCATCAATCAATTCAAACTAAAAAGCTTTACTGATTCCAGAAGAACTTCTTTTTGAGTTTTTTCCAATTTGCCCACATGTTATGATTCTTCTCTGACAGGAAATGTGTCAATAACAGAAACAAGCAAAGAAAATATATACACTATTAAAATGCTGTTGACTTTAAAATGAATCCTGAGGCATTTACTCTTGAGCACTACTTCAAGAAGAGACACTTTGAATGTGCCTCATTTGTACATAACTTTGGATGAAAGTGTACCACATGCAAATAAAACTATGATTGAGGAAACTACTAGTCTCATGACTGTGGTTGTTGAACATCAGCTTCTGCAGCAGCAGATGCAAAAATATCACAGCAGCAGTAACAGAAATAACTAAAAGCAGCTTCCTCCTTCATAGCTATGCAGTTATATTCTACTAATGATCTATAGTGCGTGTATCAGATGCAGACTCAGACAAATGAATAGTAACTGATAAAGGCAGGACGTGTTTACTTACCCATCAATAAACTCATATATTTCATCATCATCCTGCAAGAGAAACATTTATTTTAAGATAAAAAAATATGATTATTCATTTAAGGAGCAATAACACTCATTGTAAGTCACAGAAAATACCTGGAAGCAAAGTCAGTCTCTGCTCCACAGACAATGACTAGTTTAATGTCTTTTACAAACAGGAGTTAACCGGAATTTAAACTTTTAACTTATTCTTTCATTTCAGTTTCTGGTTTTCTATACCCACCCCGTCAACACAGGATGGACTGCTGTCACTCCGGGACTCTGCAAAGAAAAAAAAGAAGCCTTGATAATCTTAATCAGAATTTTTAGAAATTAGAATTTAAAATGTGTCAGATGTTGAAAAGCTTCAGGAGCAGAACAAGCTGCAGTGATGAATTGATAAAATATTTTATTTTTACCCTTCTCAAAACTTGCAATGTCATCATAGGTGTCCTGGTCTTCATCAATGTCTCTGCAATAAATGTGCGCATTTTAATTTTCCAGCGATTACTCACTATCTTCTAGTGGAATGTTATAAATGTGTCAGCATTGACATCCTGACATGTTCAACCCAGTCTCCAAACATGTTGATAAAACTGGATGGCATTGTATCCTTTACATTACAAATATTTATTTGAGGTTTTAAGAAGTTGTTCTTAATTTCTAGGGGATGATGATGTAATCTGTAAAACAGAGGTACAAAAACTACAATAATAATAATATATCAAACTTCATTTTATGTAAATAGATAGATTCAATACATAGAGTCACTGTGACATTTTATTCAATCTGAATTAAAGTGACTTCTGTAAGAAAGAGATGTTGAAACCTGGGCACTGCCACTATTTAGAATAGTCTCTGACATGTATTTAAAAGTCTAAAAAGTAATTACTCACATTAATTGCTGAAGGAAATGAGAATATAATTTTGTTGTGGCATTTTCAGTGATTTTCTTTTTTTTTTAATCATTGGTTTTAGATTTAAAGATGTGATTTAAATTGATGATGGTAAATACTCACGAAGAGATGATCTGGCGGGGCAGTCTGCCTGGTTTGTTGGAGCGTGGTGGTAATTTTACAGGACTGATCACTCCTGGTGAAAACATTTTTCTGGGCGCTGTAGCTGGGGAACCAGAACCGTCTGTACGTATGTGGAGACATTTATCACAATAACATAGATTAACAACCACGACGGCTGTAACATCCACATGAAAAAGTTAATTTTAAAAATTTAACTGTTCTTTTGTGGAAGACACTATCTGATTTTCTGGCAGTAGTTCATTTGAAATATTATCTATTTTAATTACTCAACTGTGTAATAACAATAGCATTTTACGTGGAAAGTAAAATTTGACCTTTGCATTTTGGTGCTCTGTTCTATTCAAGTGCATTTCTAGGTTGTCTTCATTGACAAGTAAAGAACAACTAAGATTCTGTGAACAAACAAAGACTCACTCTCCGTTTTCCTCAGAGCAGGAAGGGCACGTCCTCGGCTGAATCTCATAAAAGGCTCCAGGTTGACACTCGGAGGCCGTTTTGGCTTCAAGGGCAGTGGTCCCTCAGGGGGCAGGGGCCTCCTCAGTGGAGTCACCTCCCCTGTGCTCCTCTGTCTGGGCTGTGGTCTGAGTGGTAGGGGGGCAGAGGTGGGAGCTGGTGCAGGGAACTCAGGTGGAACCAGAGCTGGAGTCTTGGCTGGTCTGGTGCCTGGAGGCCTCTGGTGCCTCAGCATCATGGTCTGGAGCATCTCTCCCTTCTGCTTCACTTTGCCCGTTTCCCCAGAACTGAGAGGCAGCCGAGGGAGGGAAGGAGGTGTGGAAGGGACAGAGGAGGCCTTCGGCTCTGGCCTGGGGAGCCTCACGGGGCCTGGGCCAGTCAAAGGAGGAGGAAAGACGGGAGACAGTCTGTGATGGGACAGATTGTGCTCTGTCACCGGGAGGATCACCCTCCCAAACCCGGGCCGTGGAGAATTTGGGGAGCCGCTGTCTCGGCTGCTGGTGTCCGAGGTGCTGGTCTTGTTGTTGAACCGCGCCCTCAGAGCCTTGACATCAACGCTCTCCTCCTGAGAATAACACAGGATCACAAAAACTCACAACTGCAGTTGCTCTGTCTCTGATGCAGGAAGTTAGCAGCACAGCACGCAAGACATACACCCCCCACTCTCTCAAACACACGCTGCCTGTCTCTTTATCAAGAGAAAATGCACCGTGCAGTAACATAATTTCCTCGTTGTGCTGATCTTCACAGAGATAAATCCCCTTCGTCTCCCTGCTGCACTCCAACCCTTAAATAGGCAGAAGGTAGTAATTCCACATCAGTGACACTTTGACAACACTGAATAAATTGCGAACACAAAATCTGTATATCAATACCCACTTTATAATTAACATTTTATCTGTGTACAAATACACACTGTCAACCCTAAACATAGTATTTTTAAAACCTTTGCAGGTTTTTTCACCAGTTGGAAGAAGCTGATTCAACCATAACTTTCACAACTCGAACGTACTTCCAGTGTGCTGTCACAGGGTAGTCACATGTTCAGAGTGTTTTCTTCATAGGTTTGTCTCTGCTGTATCGTCTGTGTGTGTCCGTCAGGGCTCTCAGGGGTGATAACATGCAAACCAGACAAGCTAAACACACCCAAGCTTGTTTACCAGGGGAAGCGCTGGTTCGATATCCAGTGGCATTAATGTTTTCTATGCATCATGAACTCATCTGCTTTCTGTTGGTGTTCAGTTTAGCTTTTTATCTTATTTCTGTCATTTCCTGTCTGTTTTTTTTTACATTGAACTGCACCACACTGCTATCACCACTGCTATCAACAGTATTATTTTAACTACACCTTTATTTTTGAGGTTGTAGTTTTCAGTGGTGAGAAGCTGGACCACATTATATCATTATACCAGAACATGTTTCTGTTCTTTTGCCCACTACCTTCACAAACTCATGTCGAACTATGCATGACATCAGGAACACGTAGCTGAAATTGACAATGCTGATCAAATAATCAGGGGCATAAAATTTGGTGAAGCAACTTTCTGGAATCAAGCAACAGATGTGGACCAAACCCCCACTTCATGTTAGAGATTCATCCTCTGTGAAAAATTAAAAAAATGCTCAAAACATATATTATGGTTGTGCATTTAAAGGTCCGGTGTGTAAGATTTAGGTGAAAGGGATCTATTGGCAGACATTTAATGTAGAATAATTCTCATGATGTTTTCATTAGTTTGTTTCATC